TGCGTGCGTTAAACGTCACTAATCTCTATACCCGTACACGAAAAACCAAAACTACTCAAAGGTTGAGTTATTTAATAATAGCATTTAGAAATGCCTCTCATGTTAAGAATTACAAAACAGCCAGCGAGTAAATAACTCTGTCATTTGAAGCTAACACGAATGTTTACATTCGTCATGTATGCAGGAAGGCAGCTTATCTAATCTTCAGTCCGGAGCAGGCGACTCAATAAACAACATGACCAACTAATGTAAACATTCATTGCAGTGGTTCCTGAATTGATTGTAATTTTGGTATTTGCTACAAGCTACGAATTGCTAAAATGCCCTTTAGTAAGTGATGCAATGTTTTGCTAATTAACTGAAATATGATTCTGTTCATTGGTTTGGGGTAGAAACACCATTTCACGAGATGTTTCTGGTGAACTGATTTTACAATTAATTAATGAACTTTTACAGTTAGGCAAACTGGATGCCGTCATCGCCTAAAATGAACTATACCTAATGACTATAATATGCGTCTCTGGTAATCAACACTGGTGGAAGTGTGTTAGAGAGTGTCGCAGTATGCAGTATGACTAACAATCAATACGAAACTAACGATTTTAAATTGGCTCACTACTTGACTAGCCTATTGGTCCCAAGCAAATCGACTAACGTACCCCATTATAGTATAAATTCCAGTTCTACACTATGTTTGTTTTGATTCACTATGAAAGTTTGACAGATAGAATGAGGGGTTAGTGGATTTTCCTATGTTTCGAGGGGTGAATCGATTAGCTGAGCCAAAAAGTTGAGCTCGTTTCTTCGGGACCTTTTGGTCTTAGAGTTACCTCTATGGTATGACTGGGTAAAATTTTCCTTGGTTTTCCAGCAAAAGCGTTTCGAATATGAAGAAAATCGAGAGAGGTTTCACTCAGTATATTAGCAAACTCTAAGACTGAGTCAAATTTTCGTCGATTTTCTTCATTTTACTCAGTCATAAGTGACCTACATTTTTGCGATTATGAGTGAAAAACCACTCAATTTTGAGTCGATTTTACCGGCCGTGCATTAAAGTTCCTTCGAACTATTACTTCTTGAGCAACATGTGACAAGGTCCTATGAGCCGAATGTAAATAATAACTTTACACGATTGCTCACGAATCACATCACATCCGCGCAAACTAACAACACCATTTGATAGAGTACCCGAGCAAAGTCTGAGATCAAATTGAAAACTAAATTTGATGTTGTGATGTCTCTGATAATGATTTCTCAGGTTGCTGTCGCTTTGGTCGTTTTAACGGTTAAAATATCAAAATTGAGAGCAAATAAATCTTCCTGTGACATCACATTGAAATCAAATTCTGCTATCAGTGAGAACAAAGCGAACACTCAATTTGATGTTCATTTTTCCTGTTGATAACAAAATTAGGGCGCTATGCAAGGCGATATTTACGATCGACAAATCGCCTACAATGAATTTTTCTTCATTTATCGTCAACAGTCGCTCGCCAGCTGGCAAAATAAATGGAGTGAAAGAAGTTTGGGACGATGGCTATTCTCGATCATCCCTAAGGTGTCGAAGAGTCCTTGGTTTAAGGGGTTGGATGTGGGTCGAGACTTCATTCGTCTGATGTCTCGCCTCATGTCCAATCACTATTCGTTAAACTCTCACTTGTTTCGTGTTGGGCTGGGAGACAGCAATCTCTGCGAATGTGGACAAGGTTACCAAGACGCCGATCACATCCTTTGGTCTTGTGCTGAGCATCGTGGAGTCAGATCTGAGCTGTGCGATTCCCTTCGGGCTCGAGGTAGACAACCTAATGTTCCAGTTCGGGATATTTTGGCTAGACGTGATCTGGAGTTTATGAAACTCATATATGTTTACTTTAAGAATACTAACCTTAGATTGTAAGTTTGATTAACCTTGTGTTTAGTTTGTGTATTATGCGTGTAGTTTTTTTTAATGTTTGTTTTCAAGATGAATAGAAATAAGTTCATGTTTTACGATTAATTAAATATTTGTATAATAAATCATATTTCAAACCTTCTTCTCCCTTTCCCCATCCAAAAAATTGTAAATCTCCACTAACCTTGAGACAACCGCGAGTAATCGGTTCAATTCCTTTAACTCAAGCATGTATAATGTAAATGATAACTCGGCTCTGTAAAGTTTATTCGATTGAGCCTGTACAGATAAATTAATATAAAAAAAAAAAAAAATTAGTATTCAATTTGATGTTCTGCTAAGGCAATGAAAACAAAACTGCAACAACATATTTTTGAAGAGCAAATGTACAGCAAAACGAAAACAACATTTGTTATCAAATTTGTCAATCGCGTAAACTGAAATCAAATTATGATTTCGGTTTGATGTTTCTATCAAAATTTGATTTTGATTTGCTATCATTTTGATGCTGCACTTTGATCGGGTAAACTTATAGCGAATTCGTTTATTATCGGGGTTAACACCAGTTCCAACCCAGTGCGAAACCGAACTTCTTGTCAGTGCGAACCTCAACCTGAGCTAGGTTTTAACAACAAACGAGCAAACTGATGTTTGTCAGAAATCAAACAGACCCAATCTTGATACCCGATCCAGGTTGGAACTGAATAATAAACGAATTCGCTATTACTCTACCAGAACCAACAGCAGGTTTGCCTGAATGAGTCTTAGGCTGTGAACCATTTGCTGAGTGAAATTTGCTATCGATCGACCGGTTTTCGAGCCACGGTTGCCAAAATTTAACTTCTTGTCTGTCAGAAATAACCATGCTCGGATAGCAGGGTTAATCTATAACTTTTCATCTGTCAAATTTTAACCAAAAGTTAAAAAATTCGCCAAATGGTTCAGAGGCTCAATCTGCAAGAAATTGACGTTTAAAGCCATTGTTTACATTTTGAACATAGGCCCATTTCACATTTTGATCTAGACTTGACTTGAAAGTTCGTTCTTGAGATGATCTTTTTGGCTTTTATGTTGATTCGCATCATGGTCTATGTTATTTGTATCAATCGGAAAGAAAACACTGTCTCTTTCTTCCTCATCAGTTCTTGCGCGAGAAATGAAAGAGACAATGTGGTTATAGCCGGCGCCGGTGGTGTAGTAGTAAGCGTGACTGCTTTCTCTCCCAATGGGTCTGGGTTCAATCCCAGCCGAGGTCGGTGGGATTTTTCTGAGGCATAAACATCTCTGGTCACGTCTTCCTTCGGAAGGGAAGTAAAGCCGTTGGTCCCGCCCCATGTATGTGTGTTGAATGGGTGCGATATCCTACGCAGGTGTGGAAGCTGCCTTCCTGCACATTCGATTGCCGTCAATGGATGGCAATCGATGTGCGTCGGTGATTGGCACTAGATTGCGGAACAGATACCGACGTTAAATAAATGAAAGAAGAAGATGAGAATGTGGTTACGGATGAATGATAAGGAGTGAAAGAGAAGTGCGATTTCACATGCCGAACCTTTATAGGGTCATCTTCGATAGGACAATGTTGCATCCATTTATAGACCCAATTTGAGTACAGTAGACCGACATTACTTCCACATACCTGAAGAGTTTTCATGTTAAAAAAGTGATTTTTACAATTCTCGGGCGTGTTTAATTAATACCCAAATAATAAAAATATCTAAACTTGCATGTTGCCAGTGAAATGCCGTTTGCAGCTCAATTATTTAATAAGATGCGACATAAAATGTAACGGCAGACTTCATATTAGACCGAAGTTTGGGACATGTACCCTATCTACGCAAATGAAACCATGATAATTAATTTAAAATTATAAAATTGAAACACTAGTACCATAAGGAGCTTAAACTTTGAAGTCAAAACATTCATTTCTACACTGCAAAAAATGTGGATGAATATTACACAGAGACATATGTACATACGTCATTCCATCGGTTGAGTAATATTACGTTGTACACACTTACTCTAGCTCGGTAAAATCTCCTATAGCCGATTACCTCGGCATTTACTTTTGCTGATTTCTCTGCAAAATAACTGTATGTTAGCTGTTATCACAGCAAAATGTTATTTGTTAACTGAATCCCGGCCGAGGGGGCGACTCTATCTAAGATGCATGAAAATGTTTGCTTTGCCGTTGTGAGATGCACTCGCATTTAATAGATAGAAACACGATTGATTATGATTTAGAAGACTTCCTGCCAGTGTTGGGAAAATACCAAAAAATCAAATCTCACCAACGCCCAAGATCACGCTTGATTTTCGTAGACAAAAATCAACAAGCAAACAACTGCGGTTGATTTTGCAAGCTGTGATATCGCAGCTCGGAATATCAAGCAAACAAAACTCACCAACTTCCAATCTCACCAAACTGTGGTGAGATTGAGTTTAATGTTATTGCTTTACGCTCGAATGCAAAAGAAACATCCATAACAGCTTGCCGCAGACCCTTCGCGTCTGCCATCGGTGAAGATTAAAAAGAGATAGCAAACTATGCTTTCTCTTTCTAAGAAAACGATGTTCAATGGAATTCTTTTTTGTGTCGAGTCAACTCTCAGCTTGATTTGTTCACGTTGTTAATAGTCTCGCAATATCAAAAGCGTTTTTAATGTGCAACTACTCAGATTTACTGTCCTGACCGTGTTTTTTAGTTAGAGGAGCGGAGCGACGGGCAAGCGTCTACAATCACCTTTAAAAAAAAGCTTCTTTCAGATTCTGCTTAAAAAGCTCCAGGCAGCTTCGTTAGAATTTTCTTTTAGAAGATTTTTCTTTATTATCTTCTTTTCTGACTAAAAAACACGTACACGGCAGTCAATCTGAGTAACTAGCAGTAAAGAAGCATTTTCCAAGGTTTAAGGAGCATTTAATAATTTTAACATTAAAAAATCATTTTCTCCTCACTCTAGTAATATGATGTTATTTTTCTCACCTTCTTGTATTACCGACTCGAATGCCACATTAGTCGCTAATACATAATAATTTTGATAATTTTGTTGCATTCATTCACAACCGTATAAGAGCCTCTATTTTAAAAGGATAGATTTTACAATTCCAGCCCACCGGTATCGCTCGCCCTGCTATCACCATCTCGATACGGTCCCAGCATCCTACCAGCGCCGGCCCTTCCAACCAGTCAATTTCTTCACCACCACAGCCAAGTATCCTCGTTGGTCAACAGCTTACCGCACCATCACCCACACCATCATCACGCAATGCATGGCCTAGCCAACGGTCTATCCCTGGGTCTGAACGGCGTCAGCGTAGCCAGTCATAATGCTTCAGCAGCGGCAGCCGCCGCCGCCATTGCGAATGCCAACAATAACAGCAGCAACAACAACAACAACAGCCCCTTAGTTAGCAACAACAACCTTAGTTCGACGGAAAATCTGAACGCAACCCAATCGTCCAACCATTCCAACGCGAGCGAACAGCATTCCCCCAGTGGAGGAGGATCCCCGGCGCACCAAAGCTCGAACGGAGCCTGCCAGAATAGCGGCGGCGCCGGTCAGGCAAACTCTCCGGTCAAACAGCACACCCACAGCACCTCGTCCTGCGGATCGGCCAGTCCAATCCTGCAGGAGGACACCGCCAACGATAACGATGGTAAGTTGGCCAAATTCAATCAGACTGATGGAAGTTTTATCACTTGCCTTTGGGATGACATTTTTCCTAAACGGTTCAATTTGAACGTTTAGGGTTGGAAAGGGCGACCATAAAATAATAATCATAATTTGATGCAGCTTGATGCGAGAAGAAAAGTGAATCTCGGTCGCTGCTTCCCTGGTAGGGAGAGAGAACCTAATTTGACTAATGAAGTTCGGAAGGGTAACTTGGCCCGTCGTCTAAATGTTAGAGGGTAAATGATCTGGTCGGCCTCGTGTAAGGATGCAACATAAAATAACTATTTGTCACTTTTCGGTATTTTAATACCGCATAAATAATTGCCGGTTGAAGGGTGAAATGTACCGGCTCGAACGGAGGGGAACGCGTGTATGATATACTGAGATTTTATGGTGATATGGATATTAATACTGCTGAAGGGTTTTCAGGACAATGATGTATGAAGAAGGATTAAGCGATGACCGGAGTTGTTACGAAATTTGTTTTTCTTTGAGTCAGTCCTGTCGGAGTGAATGAATTAGGATTTAGTTCAAACGCATTATATAAGGCATTGGTAATAATGCATTCCGTGCTTGATTAGACGAAGGTTTTGTAAAATGTTTAATAATTACAAAAGAAAACAAACAACCACGTTGTATCATTGGATAAAATTCATAAATAGCATACCTACTGTTGCATTTAATATCCAATCTTCCTCGTAAAACAGTCTCCCTGCCCATGGATGGCATCATTTACATTCGCCACACCCTTTCCGTCTGTCAGCTAATTTCCATACAAAGCCATCCCATCAGACGGGATGGCGTCCGGTATGCATTTCTTCATAATCGTCCAGAAAGGTTTGGTCCCTTTTCCCATTCCCAATCCTCAACCTGTTCAAATATCACCCGGCAGTTAAAAGGCGCCACCGTCTTCGTCTATTCTAAAATGCAAATCACCCAGATTTTCCACCAAGGCAAGGTTTCAATGATAAAAATTCAATCAAATAAAAAGCTTTCCGAGAGGGATTTTGCATCAAACGTTTTGTTTTGCATCTTGGAGAAAAAAAAAGTCTTAACCTCTCACTGTCTGCGCAATGTGCTCCCACGGGAGTCAACCGCCTGGGTGGGTGAACTTTTTTCTTCATCGGTTTTCCTACGGAGTAGGTGCCGTGAGGCTTCGTCGTAAGCCTACCACCACGTGACTCTCGATCGGCGGAAGGAAAAAAAATGTCAATAAGCATTATAGTATCCTTGGGTTGTTTTGCTTTGCTCCTTCCGGCAGCCGCGATGGTTTGCGTGCCTACATAAATTACAGCAATAATCATTTAAATGCGTCACAATACCTGAACTGAACGCCGCGACGCTTCCCAATGATCCGAATTGTCTGGTGAGGGTGACGACGAATTGGAAAACTTACCACTGTAAACTTTTCCAATTCGGAGCGTCAGCCGAGAAAGAGCACAAACGAGTTTTTCATTGAAATTTTATAGCCGTTTAACAGCCGTTTAGCCTCTGCCAGCAAGTCGCATTGCGTTGATGTTCTTTTTTTTCCTCGGATGTTTTAGGAGTGCATTCGAGGGGAAGAGAAGTCACCCACATTTGCATCTGGGAGATTGTTTGTTGAGATATGAAATTGAAATCGAGCGACGCCGACGGTGATTGCTGGCTGGCTAGAACAGGTCCCTGGAGGGTGTGAAAAGTCGATTTGTGTGCACAGTTTGGCAGCAGCTGGCGTGTGATTAAGTGATTTGTTGGAAGGTAATCCTACGAAGGTTTGCAATTGCACGATGCAGTGATTTTTATTTTTTTTTTATAAATGATTTGATCAAATTAGCCGGTTGACTTATATAGGGCTAATTCCAGCATTGACAAGTAGTTGCTCTCTTTGGTTTACTTTGTATCAATGAATTGCCTATACAGCAGTCTGAATGTTTACTTGTTTATAGTGAGCTGAAAGACCTTTAACGAGCACCACTAAAAAATAGCAAAGCCTTACACTATACTAATAAATGCCCCGTAGCATGGGTAAATCACCTTTTCGTGGTTCGTTACGGGATGTAAGATCTATCACCGATTCCTAGTCCTGACTACTTCAAACTAGGGGAGCAGGATTTTTTAGTAATCCAAGGAACACATCTAGTCCTTGTTACTTTGTATGTCTTGTTGATAGTGACAAGACTCGGCTATGTCCACCGAGGATGATCTTGAAACAAGGAAAAATGAGTTAGTTAGTCTTCATCTATGTGATTCCTAATCTTCTATTCGTTGTTCCCTAGTTTGAAGTGGTGAAGACTAGGGTTCTGATGCATGGTCACTATCGATGTCATTCCTTAATTTTGCTGCTAAGGAATCCAATTTTGACTGACTAAGGGGTGCGCCTGTGGAGGGTGTTCCAAGAGTATAAATTGTGGGACCTTTCAATTAGAGTCGGATCCTTGCGATAAATGACAACTGTAAAAAAAATCGAATACTTCATCATTTCTCAATAGTGATGGAATAATACGAAATGCACTAAACTAAAGATACGGGATATATTACAATAGATCAAATAACTGGTCGCAGTGGTGTTTGGTCCCGAACAGAGGGGAAAAATACTAATAAATCATTAAATAGCTGATCAACCCAAGGGGTAGGTCACTCAGCACATTATGTCGAAATTAGATTGGGCACAGCTTGGGCACAGCCATCGGTACACCTTAGATATACCTTCGGCACAATCTTGTAGGCATTGGATTGTTGTAAATAAAATGGGAGCACTGCTGAACAACCTTCAATGAAGTTGTTCACAACATTACGTGCTGTTTGACTGTATTTTCAGGAACATCCTCTAATTGAGTATACCAGAGGAACTCAGACCAGCAGTTCACTAATAGATCTATATATGAAATGTAGGTTCTAGAGTGGAGGCAGAAAGAGGCAGTTAGTACCGCATTAGTACCCTTAATTCAAATAATGCTGCAACTCACACAAAACAAACTAAAGAAGTATATTCATCATCCTCTAAAGTCGGTCTCCAACAACGCTCCCACCGGTTCCAACTCTTTCTGACCGCTGATAGACCGATGCTTTTCACATCACGAAAAGCTAGGTTTCGGGTCTACCTTTGAGGGCATTAAAAAGCACCCAAACACAGGACTTTTATTCACACCCTATGGAACACAAATCACCAAAATTTCGCAGACCAGCCACTTCCCGCGTCATTCTCAATCCGATTTATCCTTGCAATTTCAAACCAAAGCATTCTAGGTGTCAGAAATACCGGATTGCCGGGATGGGTATTTTACAAACAATCGCAGCTTGCTCTATGACCGGCACAATCGGCACACTTGAGGCACACTGACAAAAAACATTGGTGTGCGGAGTATCCTACCCCTTGGATCAAGATTTCATAAATCTACTGTGTAACTGTATGAATCTACACGATCTTCCCTTCTGTCTACTTTCCTCCTCACTTTACTAAAAAAAACCAGCTTATGACACAATTTTCACTATTTCAGAACTGAAAATTTAAAGAGAAGATCCTAGAACCAATATTCATATTTATGGAGATTTTCAAGGATGACAAAAAGTGGATTGGTACGCCCCTCGTGCGCCGCTAGCCCGCCTGTACTGTTGGGAATCGAACATTTTTGACAGTGGTTTGTTTACACTACTATAGAGAACAACTGGTGCAACTTTGATCAAAGTAGTCGATTGCGTTCAGAAAAAAACGTCAAATAGAACTCGAAAGAAGAAAAAATATTGTTCACAAACACCTGGAAAATCCGGAGTGGTCCGGTTCCAAGCTGGCTAAAGTGCTGAAGATGCCGAAAATAACAGTTTGTCGAGTGCTCAAAACCTATAAAAAAAAACCCTGAGTATGGAAAGGAATCAGCGGACCTACGAAAAAACTGGACCCAGGAACCGTCAGCTTTAACGCACTTGAACACCTTGCTGCGCTGTTGAGGTGCGTTACCCGGCCATTCGATCCGAGATGTGACCAGAAGGTACAACTCCAACTTTCAAACCGTGCGGAACATCCTTGCCAGGGAAGGATACAAGTCGTTCGAGGCCAGTAAACATCCGAACCGGCACATGAGGCAGAATTCCGTGGCCAAAAAGCGTGCAAGGTTCTTGTACGACCGTGTTTTGACGAAACACAAGGGCTGCACTTTGATCGATGACGAAACATACGTAAAACTCGATTTTAGGCAGCTTTCCGGTCAAAAGTTTTACATCGCGACTGGACGTGGGGATGTGCCGGGAAGATTCAAGTTCGTGTTTGCCAGCAAGTTTGCGAAGAAGGCCATGATTTGGCAAGCGATTTGCAGTTGTGGCCTGAAAACGGAACCATTCGTCACGTCCTCGACGATGACATCCCAAGTATACATCGAAGAATGCCTGAAAAAGCGTGTATTGCCGTTCATCCGCATGCATAGGGGCAAAGTCATCTTTTGGCCCGATTTGGCCAGCTGCCACTCCTCCAAGGTGGTTCTGGAGTGGTATGCTACCAACAAGATCAATTTTATCCCCAAGCTAATGAATCCTCCGAATTGCCCGGAAATGGAACTAACATTCATTGTAATAATTTTTTGGTTTGCGTGTACGATCGTGGGCGGATGGAAAGAAACGCAACGCTACTGTCGATGAGAAGAGGGAAGAGAGAGCTCGACGGTCGGAGGATGGGATCAGGTAGTGGTGAGCCCTCGTAGAAGCAACAAAAATAGTTTGTTGCGTGTGGTGTACTTTTGAAGAGTTTGGTGATCATCATCACCGGTCCGAGCCACGCGAGTTTAGAACGCACTGTTTTCCGGACAAACACCAGGTCACCGGCCAGGTTATCCCAGGGTCCTGTGTATCGGACCACCGATTCTCCAGTCCGACGATTATCGACGTCGTACTGCCGCTCCAGGCTTAAGCGATCAGCCCGCCATTAGTCGCTGCTGGCGTCTGGTATCGCTGGCCGATATTATGCGGACAGTCAGTCCTTCGGAGTCGGCCCGCCATTGTTCACCGTCGGTCCCT